ATGCGACTCCTAGAAGAAAACATAGTAAAAAATCATCATGACATTCAATTTGGGAATGATTTCTTGGATATGATGTCAAAAGTACAGGCAACAAAAGAAAACTGATAAGATGGATTTTATCGAAATTAAAAGCTTTTGTGCATCAAAGACACAATCGACAGAGTGAGAAGGTAACCCATAGAATGGAAGAAAATATTTATGAATCATATAACTGATAAGGGATTATTATCCAGGTGATGTAAAGAATTCCTACAACTCAACAACCACAAAAAATCCCAGACATCCTGATTCAGCATGGGCAAAGGACTTGAGTAGACATTTCTCCAAAGAAGATATACAGATGGCCAGCAAGCACATGAGTCAGTACTCGGCATCCACAGTCATTACCACTCCCCACCCATAAGGATGGCTGTGGTTGAAACAAACCAATAAATAAAAGTCAGACAACAATGAGAGTTGGCGAGGATGTGGAAAAGCTGGAACCCTTGTGCGTCGCTGGTGGGAATGTAAAGCAGTGCAACCATTGCAGGAAACAGTTGCTAATTCCTCAAAATAGTAAACATAGAATTACTGACTAATCCAGCAATTCCACTTCTGGATATATACTGAAAAGAAGCCAGGTGCGGTGGCTCACACCTGTAATCCCAGCACTTTGGAAGGCTGAGGCGGGGATCCACTCCCAAGGTCAGGAGTTCAAGATCAGACTGGCCAACATGGTGAAACCCCATCTCTACAAAAAAAAAAAATACAAAAAATAGCTGAGTGTGGTGGCGGATGCCTGTAATCCCAGCTACTCAGGAGGCTGAGGCAGGAGAATTGTTTGAACCCAGAAGGTGGAGGTTGCAGTGAGCCAAGATTGTGCCATTGCACTCCAGTCCGGGCAACAGAGTGAGACTCCATCTCAAAAAAAAAAAAGAAGAAATGAAGGCAGGGATTCAAAATTATATTTGTATACTTTTTTTTTTTTTTGAGATGAAGTGTCCCTCTGTCGCCCAGACTGGAGTGCAATGGTGCAATCTCGGCTAACTGCAACCTCCACCTCCCAGGTTCAAACAATTCTGTCTCAGCCTCCCAAAGTAGCTGGGATTACAGCTGCACACCACCTTGCTTGGCTAATTTTTGTAGCAGAGACAGGGTTTCACATATTGGTCAGGCTGGTCTCAAACTCCTGACCTCAGGTAATCCACCTGCTTTGGCCTCCCACAGTGCTGGGATTACAGGCGTGAGCCACTGCGCCCAGCCTGTACACACTTTGGTAGCACCATTATCACAATAGCCTAAAGGTAGAAGTGAGTCAAGTGTCCCTCAGTGGAGGAGTGGATGAACAGATTGTAGTGTCCCCATACAATGAAATATTACTAAGCCTTAAAAAGGAAGACAATTCTGACACACACTACAACATGGATAAATCTTGAGAACATTGTGCTAAATGAAATAAACCAGTTCCAAAAAAACAAATACTGTGTGATTCCACTTACATGAGGCACCTAAAGAAGTTAATTGCATAGAAAGAGAAAGTAGAATAATGGTTTTCAGGAAATGAGGGAGAGAGAAATGAGAAATTGCTATTTAATGGGGACACGGTTTCCATTTTACAAGATGAAAAGTGTTCTGGAGAGGGCTGGTGGCGACGGATGAGCAATGTGAAGGTACTTAACGCCACAGAACTGAGCACTCTAAAATGGTTACGATGATGAATTTTATGCATCTTCTTACCATGATTTTAAAAGTAATTTTCTTTAAAAATCAAGAATAGTCATTTAAAAAAAAAGATTTTGGCTGACAGACATTTCATTTCATTTAGACGCTCAGAGCCATCCTGAGTTCCTCCTCTTCCTTGCTTTTCTTTATGACAGAATTCTCTTGATCCAGACCTATGATCCCTTTTTCCTAAATGCAGGGGAAAACAAAGGTCGTCATTCTTCTTCAGGGCTTCACACTCTTAATCCTTCATCCGAATGTTGTCATCAGTCTGCTCTTCTCAAATGGGCTCATTTCTCCAGTATTCCATTGGAACTGCTCCCAAGTCACCGATGATGCTGATCTTCAATTCCAATCTCTTTTTCTCAGAACTAGTCCTTTAACGCATGCTTACAACAAATGATCCCATGGCCCCTGCCTTCCTGTTAGGAGATACAGTGTGCAGTCAGTTTCGGATCCTTCACTTTAGTCCCACTTCCTGGGAGGCCCAGGCAGCTTGTTTTAATCCTGAAGTGACCTCAATGCAGGGCCCTGCTGTGTGCATGAGCACATTAGAAAAGAAAAGAGTGGAAGACGCTGTAAAGGAATCATATTGTGAGTTTCATAAGCAAATCAATTATGAGTCAGTAATTTATGAATTTTGTGGAGACTCGGAGCCCAGGTCTCCATGTCTCAGCACCTGGAAGGCCTCTCACTCCAGGAGCAGAGAACTCTGTAGCTGGCGGTCGGGTTCGAGCCCCGGCACCTGGGCATCATCTGGTCTGCAAGGCAGAACCTGCTCTTAGGTTTGGCAGTGTTATGAGGTCTTTCTGTCAGAACAGCTTCATTCTAATTGTTTATCCTCAGCATGTAGGAGGGACTTCAGTGCAGGAGATGGAGGGGCAGCTTCCGTGGGCAAGACTCCTGCATTTACTATTACATGGAGCTCCCTGGCAGGGTATAGATAAGAAGACTGTCTGGTAGGACAGAACAAAGCTGAGGAGAAAGTAATATGCAGCAGTAACTTGTGTGATGCCACAGGAGAGGACACACAGATGGGAAATTAGGGTCTAACCCATGCCTTCTGGCCACGGTGCCTGGAAGAGGAACTTTCCCCTACTGTGGAGTGATTGAGGGTCCTCTGCTTTCTATGCAGTAGGTGACATGCTGTCTTCTTTCCTGGACTAACCCACCTGATCCATCGTCCACACCTCTGGCCCCTCACACACTGAGAGTCTGTGTGTGTACATGTGTGTTCATGTGTGTGCATGTGTACATGCGTGTGCATGGGTGTGTGTCTCTCTTCTCCTCTCCCTCCTCCTTTTCCCCTTCATTCCCTTGGAATCTATTACTTCCCTACAGGTTCCTTCAGGGGAACATGGTCTTTTTGCTGACCCAAAACACAGCATTCCTGGAATCTGCTGAATGGTCGATTTGGGGAAAATAAAAAATCTAAATACAACATTGGCTCGAATTTATACGATGCTCAGCTGACGCACACACCACTTCTGTTGGCTGATTTTTGAGTGTGTGGGCAGCATATGGTTCTAGGACTAATGTTTTTCTCTTACTGCTAAACATTTTTAAATCCTGATTTTCATCTGTATAAAAATATGATTGCTTATCCCAGACCTGTGTGTCACCTGTATGTCCCTAAGCCTTGCCAGCTGCTGAGAGTGAATGAGGGTGCAGGTCCATCTGGCACACAGCCCACGTGAGCACGAGCAGCTGGCTGCACCTGCTCACTGAGCCCTGTTGCACTGCAGCCTTCCTCGGGGATCCACAGGAGGCCGTCCCTGCAGGCTGAGCCAACACTCCACCCTCGTGGCCTTGGGCTTCTGCCCAGGCACTCCTGCCCTGCCCTGTAAGCCCGGAGCTCTTGGTTCACACGGGGTCTGTCTGCTCCTCGGGCTTTGTGGAGAGGAAGGGGAGCAACTGACTGAGAGGGGTTCTACTTGCCCTGGGCTGGGGTAGGGGGTGTGCCCCAGTGCTGCAGCCCCAGAGCAAGCATCACTCCCAGGTTCAACATATACTTCTGCCACTGTGGGCTGGGACCTGGTCACAACCGGCCACCGCTTTGTCCACAGAACAAAGTCGTGGCCAGTTGAGACTCTGGGGCTGCAGCCACTGGCCGCACAGACTCCTGTTTCTTTAGGGCATGGATTCATGGCTTTTTATCCCTTTTGCAATTCGGTTCCTGTCTCCCCGACTGAAACTCACTCCTTGGCACCTCCAGGCTCTACCCCTGGGACACTCCTGTGGCTGGGCTGTGAACGGGGCTGCTGTGTCTGGATTCAAGTATGGGGATCCTCTCCCCTGGCTGCCGCAGCCCTGCCCCTGGGGTTGCCACACCACCTACCAACCTTGAATTGATTTTGATCGGCAGCTGAGTTTCCATCTCTGTCTAGTCCTTTTATTTTGGAAAGAAAATTTAGCTTGGTGTTTTAGGTTCAAAAATCATTTGAATGTACTGAAATGTGACAGAAATGTACATGATCAGACTCACAGGACTGGAAGCCTGGAGGTTCAGAAATGGCAAGCCCACGACTCCCCTCCCTGGCTCTCCCCAGAGAGGGCAGGAATGGCTAAGGCATGGCACCCCCTCTACAGGCTTCCAGCTGGTCAGAGGTGGCCTACAATCGGAAATCCTGACTGGCCATGCATAGCTTGGTTCTGTGCACAAGGCATGTACACTGAGCTGCCCAGTGATATTCAGGAGTTTCCAAATGCCATATGCATTAGGGGCCCCCTGGCATTTGGCTGGTTTTGGTTTCTGTTTCCACATAACTCTAATTACTCAGAGCGTTGTGGTGATAATAGTTTCATGGACACTTTGATGTATTAGAGCTTATACAGGTGCTCTCCCTCTACCTGGACAGTTTACGCATCAATCACACCTCAGTAAGGCAGGCTTGAAGTATTTTGTAATGCATGGCAGGCATTTCAATCCAAAATACTTATGACATCAAAAATCTTCCTCAGCAATAAAGCATTCAAATAGCTATACATAGGACTTAGAAATTATTTGTAATTGATTGTCATATAATCTTTCATTTCAAACTTCTGTGACCTCAGCTTTCTTCTGTTAGTTATGTGTAAAAATAGAGATACAGAGTCCATCCTGATGACAATGCCTTCTGAGCCCTGAACCATCCGTCATGGTGCCAGAGCACCCAACATGAAGGGCCAATGAGAGCCCCAGGCACTTACCTCTGAATTACCCATCCAAGATGAAGTTTTCCGAAGAGCCCCGCTCCCAGCTATAAGGGTGTATTTAGTAGAACTTACTGCTAACGTCCTATCCCTGTTGTTCTCTCCAGCCAGCCGCCTTCCCTTCAGGCTTAAAGGTGGGAGCAAAGGACCCGCTTTGTTGGCTTTGAGGAGTGGGACAGACCCCCGGGCGCAGATGAGCGATGACCCAGCAGAAGGCACCCTGGACCCCTGCAGTGCGCCAGGTAAAAAGGAACCCTGCTCTGCCATTCAGCCTCCCCTGGGAATAGTCTGCCCCTCCCTGGCATTCTCTTTTGGCTCTTAGCTGGGACCTCACTGGCAAAGCGGCTGAGAAAATTGCCTGTGATTAGGAAAGACACGGGTATTTTTGATGTTAGATTAGAGCCCAGGAATATAGACATGGTTTTTAGTGATTTTTCTAAGCACTTTGTATGTTTTTTCCCCTTTTATTTTTTGAAGTTATGTTGGGTATTTTCTTGATTAATATAGCAGCCAACGTAGTAATTTAACATCACAATGAAGAATAACACCCTTACTCACAAGGAAGGGCACTTTCAATGAGAAAATAATTTACATTATTTTTATCTGATGACTTTTATTGGTAAACAAAGAAGGCAGCAAAAAGTTCCTGATTTATTTTAAAAAGTTATGAAATGAGATTACCGAAACTTTGAAAGCAAAGTTTCTAAAATACCAAAGGAAAAGTGCTTTTCCCTGTTTCTAATGTAGAGAACGTGATGGCCCTCTTTAAAAGTGACCGGTTTGCATATTTAGGTGTCTCCATAACAGGAAGGCATTGTAATATCTTAGTTGTCTGTTTTTATATGTTCACAAAAACCAAAAGGATTTTGCCCTTGGCCAGTGGAGGACTCTATTTAGCTGAGAGCACTACACAAGGGGTGAGGTGGGTTCATTCTTCCACAAATATGATTTAGCCCTTGCTCTGTGTTGTCCTGCCAATCCAATTCGGACCAAGGCAGAGTCCTTGTGTTCAGGGGCTCATATTGTCCTCGAGGAAGAAGCACTCAGGAAGCAAACACCTGCTGTAGCTTCAGAGCGTGGCCAGTGCTGTGTGGGCCTTGAGCAGGAGTGGCATCTTTCAGGGTGGCGGTGCCGGCAGAAACAGAAGCCTGCATGTCAAGATTGGGGTGAGCGTTCAGCGGAAAGGGGAGCAGGCGTCCAGTCAATGAGGCAGGTCTGAGCTGCTATGTTCAGGGCTGAGCAAAACGCTGCGTTGGCCTGAATGCAGCCAGCAAGGAGAGAGCAGAGGTGAGGCGGCCACAGGGATTGGAAGGGACCGGGTCGTACCGTCCTTGGAGGCCACAGGTCTTCATCTTCCAGTGCTGGGTAAACTTTGCAAAATTTGAAGCAAAAGAGTGAAACGATGTGACAGGTAGTTTTCAAAGACCAGTCTCCTGTGAAAGGACCCTCGCCGGAGAGCGAGGCTGGGGGCAGAGAGGGCCTGAAGGAAGGAGCCAGGGTGGCGGCTGGCAGAGGGAGAGCCGCGACCTGCGGGTGGAGAGCGGGCGTGCAGGTGGATTGGATGGGAAGGACGCATTCCCGGGTTTGTTTCATTTTGCCTCGTGTTTTTGCCCTGGGCCTGTCTGTTCTGATGGGGAGGAGTAGGGACGATGCAGGCCTGCGAAGCGCCCAGAACCGTGTTTGGAACGCGATGAGAGCGCAGAGCCTGATAAAGAGGCGTCCAAAGCACCCGAGCCAGCGCGAAACCCACGGTTGTGGTGCGGAGGGCGCTGGCGGGAGCCCGGGTGCAGATGTGGGTCCCGGGAGGGCGCGCAGCCTGTCGGCGGGTCCTCTTGGAGGAGGTCGGCTTGCTGGGCAGCGTCAGGGAGCGGGCACAGTGAGGCTGGGAGCGGGGCGAGCCCGGTGTGACGGCCAGAGAGCAAGCCGGGAAACCTCTCCAGGAGCCGTGAGCCGCCGTGAGAGCGCTGGACGGTCGGCAGGTGGGACAGGTGGACTCCGCGGGGGCTGGGCAGTGCAGCGTGGCCCGCGGCGGGCGCGTGGCAGCCCAGATCCCAGCGCCATCGGGGCGAGGGCAGGAGCGGAGCCCGCACGTGCAAACAAGTCTTCCAGGAGGTTCTGTTTTAAAGAACAGAGGAGTGGAAGGATAGCTGGCAGGGAGGCAGAAGTCAAGAGGGTTGGTTTGTATGGATTTTTTTAAAAATACGGGGTGGGGCATATGGGTTGAGTCCCCCCAGGCACACAGGGTGGTAGTCTGACAGCGCAGGAGACGCTCTCATCTGCAGAAGTTTAAAGAGCAAACCCAGCACCTCAGTGTTCAGCCTTGATCACAGGGAAGGGTTGCTAAGCTCTGGGTTCAAGAGGCCCTAAAGGAAAAGAGCACCCAGGAAACTGCAGACACACACACACACACAGACACAATCACACACACACACTGTCACACACTCTCACACACACAATTTCCCATACACACTCACACACACTCATACACACACACTGTCTCTCACACACACATGCTCACATGTACACAAACATGCTCACACACTCACACAACACAGGCTTGCACACACAGTGTCTCACACACACACAGATTCCCCCCCCACGGTTTCCCACACATACACGTACACACATACACACACAAACACACACCATCTTTCATACACACACGCTCACATGTACACAAACACATGCTCACACACACACCACATTCTCACACACACGCACACACACTGTCACACAGTCTCTCACACACTCACACACATGCTCACCTACACTTACACGTACACTCACACATGCTCATATGTATACAAACCCATGCTCACACACACACATACACACACTGTCACACACTCTTACAATCACACTCACACACACATGCCCTCACACAGTGCAAGTGTGTGCAATTCCAGGGTGAAAACCAATGAAAATGTCCTTATTCAATTGGTACCCACCGGACATGTGTGGCTGCCATGGTTAAGTTAGTCAAAATTCAATGAAATTAAAAACTCGAGTTTTCAACACCTTGGGGTGAGGCCTCTGAGGGATAGAGATGCTGGCTTCTCAGAGGTGGAAGAGGGAAGCAGGTCTTCTGAGTGCCCCTGAGTGAGCTCCAAGCCCTGCTCTGTGCAGGGACCTGAACTAGAGTCTGAGCAGCCCCCAGCCCTTGGTTCTGAGCAGAGGAGAAGTCCAAGCTGCCCCTCCACACCTTGGGGCGGGATCAGGGTGGGGCTAGGGGAGCCGCAGCAGCTGGACTCTGGCTCAAGAGCCAGGTACCAAAACTTGGAGTCTGATCAGGACCCTGTTAGCACCATTCCAGCTACTTCGAGGGTCAAATAGGGTTTTCAGGGCTTCCTCCAGGAATTTCCTTAATTTTTAGACTGTGTCTATGGGGAAATAGTCTCTGTTTTAAGCAATTGACTTAAAACCAAACTTTTGAATTACAATTTTTGTATGCCAACGTTGTCAGATAGGCTTACTGGGTGAACATTGTCTAAAAGCTTAAGCAAATTCAAAATCACTTATTGCTTCTTTCATAACACAGGATTGTACCTGCTTTTGTTCATGGAATGCTGACAGGGATGGCCTTGGGATTAAGGCTAAGAAGCGTGTTCCTTTTTTAAAAGTCTTTTGAAAAATCTGCTTCTCCTTGAATGAAACCATGTAAATCTGTTACTCATAAGCCTTTTTCTCCCTAAAGTCTGGATGCTAAATTAAAACAAAATTTAATGTCACCTAATATTGGTTCACAAAGGATCCTTTTATCAAGTAATGAAAACTAAGTACTCTGCAAGTGTCCTTTTTCATCTTGGCTACTTGGAAGCGCCTAGCAAAATGTACTGATTTACTCACAGACTGTGAAAACTTAATGAGGAGAAAATGTTAACACTGAAGCGGTGGGGTGTCAATAAGATAGGGCTGGCAGGCCGGGGAGGAAGGGACAGTGACTTTGACTTTGGTTCAATTCTTATCCTTAGCTATGTAGGATCAGAAATTGTACTTTATTGATTAACCTCAATATTATGTATTCTTCAGAACACAAATTGATTGACTTACAATGGCAATAATCTCTTTCTTGCCACGGGAATGTTCCTGTCCATGACTCATGGAAACCTGTGTCCTGATACTGAGATATCTAGGAAGCTAGAACAGTCATCATCAGAAATTGGCTTAGTGAACACAGGATTAAGACAAAGGGAAATTATTACCTTGAAGGACATCTTATCCACACCACAGTAACATCACTGAAATATTCATGTTACCCCATTGAGAAGAAATTTCTGGTGACTTGCTTTTGCCTCTCAGACCATCTTTTTCCTGTTCTGCAAAGCCAAGTGCTCCAGGAAAGTGCATTTCCGGCACCGGCTTCCCCATGCCAGCACTCCCTCTGTCACTGGGCCCTTCTCAGAAAGCACACATTTTCTTTACCCCCAAGTTGTCAGACATGCATGTCACTGTCCCCACTAACCACTCACAACAGGAACCATGGCAGCTTAGAATTTGGGAAAATCCATTTTTCCTTCTCTCTTATACACCTGTTATTATTATAAGCAATCTTAGTTCTTTTTGGAGGGGAGGGAAAGTTACATTTTGAAGGCAAATTTTAAAATTCCCAATGGTTGCTTTATTGAATAGCACACAGGTGACTGTAATATTTTTAAATTCATGGCATCTTTTTAAAAAATAAGACTCATACTTTGCCTTTTATCAAAATTATCTTTTATCTAGTTATCATAGCCATAAAAAATCAAAAGACTTATAACCAAAAGCTATGTATGAATAACTTTCCAGCTGCAGCTCAATTTATTGCCAGTTACACTTGACATAGCACAATTCTGTTACAATAAATTATATGAATAACCTTTGGAATTCCTGGAATTTGCCTTCCCAGTGCAGTAAGTGTTGTGTGAAGACCTGCTCCACATCAGGCACCGAGTCAGGTGCTAGGAGGGGCTTACTGAAGTCTAAAACACTATCACTGGCTTCAAAGGTTGTATCTTAGAAAGCTGTGCAAAAACTCCTGAGCCCCACATCCCCTGCGTACTGTCTTGGTAGTCACCAGTGGGATCCTGGCATCTGGGTGGCATTTGCAGGCAGCTGGCACACTCTGCAGTGGCATGGAGGCCACGCTGTTAGGCCGCTCTCCATTTGGAAGGATTGACACAATCCAGCCAGGTGCTCTAGCTGATATGATCTCTACCTGGTCTTCACCTGTCTCAGGAGTGGACGACCTGGATTCAAACCCCAA